CAAGTATTTATAAAACATGAAGGATAATGAAAAAAAAAAAACAACAGCGAATGGCATTTTCAAAAAAGGGACAATACATGACAAATATATTACTTATACTATATTTATATTATTATATTTAAATAAAATGAGGTGCACTGACAGAGGCGCAAGGAGAATCCAACTCCAACGTGCAACAGGGGGGCTATGACATTGTGATCACACAATACATGAGAGTACGGTCAATTTACAGTGTAAATCATCAGTTAAAGAGGAGGAGGTCTTACCATAGCTCGCTATCTATTGTTAAATGCAACTCTTCGTATCTCTCGAACAAGCTTAAACCATGCCCATACAATTACTGTGTCTACGGCTGCCGTGCAGAAACGCCATGTCGAACATATTTTGCTACAGTTACAAACAGTGAACACTAGCGACTTGTTTTAGATCACTCAAGTAAGAATGCATGCATGCGATATATGGGTGGAAAACAATCAAGTATGCAACTGATCTATTAATTGTGATTGCACAGTACGTGTAACTAGACCTTTGTTCTAACTCAGTAGTTCGGGATAGGAAGCTTGGACAAAACTGTTCTATTCAACTGCCACCACATCCGAGGAAACCTTCACTGAACCCTCTACCTGAAGTCCCCCTAGCTGAAACAAAAATGCCCCTTGAACCTGTCCGTTTGTTAATCGTCAAATGATTTGTGATTTCATTGAACGTCTTTGATCGACAGCTTTTAAGTGACAATAACCGAACCTTGTCCTGATTATTTTTTAAAACGTAGGTTTATTCATCATGGTCTATTTTGTAAACAATACTTGCCTAGATTTTACTTGGATTGATCATCGGCACTGTTTGGCTACTCGCTTATAATGCGAGCTATAATAATAATAATCTTTATTGGAGAAATCGCAACCCGAAGGTTGAAGTTATACAATTACATATATGAATATTTAAGTCAAGGAAGCCTGGTTATTTTTGCACTGGTGCACTCCGTAGGCGGTCTCACCTCTCTGGGGAGCATACAGCTGAACGACAGACTACTTATAAATATTATGTGTTACTGTTTAAATGAACACATTTAGTTAAAATATAACGACGCCGGTGATTTAATCCATCCAACATATCTATATTTGTTCTTTTAAAACCAGTGTCAGGTTAACACCAAATCAAAGCAAGACTGGTTTTGTAAAGCTAAAGCTAAATAAAGCCTGTTTCTAGTTCACAGTGTTTATCCCAGCTACTTGTATAAAACTGCATGAAGAATATAACAATACTCCGTAGCGAAATACATGTAACTTTCACAATGCTCTGTGCTTTACCTTTGACGTTAACTTCGCCCTGCTATATACATGAACAGATGTTGCAGATTGTAACAAAAATTTTATTATAGTGCTTTTATGACATATGCTTTACATATTTGATAGTGAAACACTCATCGGCTTAAATGAATCACCTGACGTTAACTATGCCTCCCCCTCCCATGCCTCCCGAAAAACTGCTTCTTTTAATTTCAAAATGAATTGTTTTTAAGACAAAGAAGTTCATTAACCCTTTTACGACTCAGTCATTGTACAGCATGTTGTAATCGATATTTAAAAAAAAAAAATATTGTACTCCGCTTTTCAGTGTTCATCCTGGTGCTTTCATCGGGGATACCTCAGGTTGAGGTACGATTTCGTCGCTAGGCTAAATCCATATGTTACTGGAATACATTTAAGTACACGTAAAGCTTTGTAAAGTCCCTATTGTCACACATCATAGATACTGAATTTTGTCTTGAATGAAAAAAACAATACCGTCAGCTTTTCGTTTTGTGCTTAAACCTTTCATGACTTGGACCGAGGTTTGATATGCAGTTTACTGTAGCTACTATGATATTCCTCAGCATCTAAATGATAAACGAGGTTGTCTACCTGTAAAAGCAGCAGCGGCGGTTTAAATGATCGCTATCTCGGTTCCTTTGTTTATGTATTTATTTATTTTTTTCTGACAGTCACACAAAGACCGACGTTGTTTTGTCTTCACATTTTCTCTTCCTTTTTTACTGCAGTTACTATCGTCAATTCATGAAACCATCGGATAAAGCAATTTAGTGACGGCACATTGAATATAGTCACAGGGTGCATTTCGCTGAGTGTTTACAAGATCTAGCGACACATTTTATCTCCCTGCGTTCTAGTCTGATAAATCAGGGGGCGTTTATGCTGAATCGGGGAATCAGTAGATATGTCAAAAAATGAAGAGATTCTCGAGGAGGCCGGTAGTGTTGAAAGGTCTGAGTAATTTTGTCTGTTAAATGTGAAGGCTAGCTTAGATTATCATACAATGGATGGTATCATAATTGCCTTAGATCTTCAGTGTGTGCAACAAGTGAAGCAACAAATGATAATAAAAAAACGTCAGGAAGAAAACGAAATATAATATTTTTAAATTTAAACAGTCACTCTGGTGGCTTTGCGTCATGTCTTTGAATCTGACATCGAATTTAGCCCACAATATTAGTAAATTCAGAATTAATAGCTAAAACGTAAATTGACACCTGCCCTTATTTGTCAGATAAAAAAAAAATGCCGGTGATCCAAGCGGAGGATACGCTTTCCTGAATGTACCGGCGCTGAACGGTGACGGTGTTTTTCTGAACAACTTACCTGTGAATCTGTATTAGTTACGAAAAGCCCCCTTTTCAACAGGCATGTTTTATTAATTAATTCATGTCACAGAGTAAATTTATTGGGCTGGTCCACAACGTCCGACACAGCAGAATGAATCAAATAACAGCTTTCACAGATTCAACTGCCGTTGGCTATATAGTATCATTACAAATACAATCCGCTGCTCGCGCGAAGCTGTTGAACAAAAGGATAGTTCGCTACGAGAGACTGTTTGTTTACATATGTACTCTAAGGGGGGAGTGCCTACCCAGGCAACCAGGGGATTAGGCTAGTCACTGTATTCCTTCAAAAACCGTTTAGCGACCCTATAATTATCACACTCCCTCTATTGTTTTTTCTGTCGTTATAATCGCCTCTAATCTTCTTATGGTAGATGGAATACATGTACACATACATAATATTAGGACGGTGCACTCAAACCCAATATTGCGGTGCATTAAACATGTGTCCATAAATAAAATTGAATTAATTCAAAGTTGTATTCACTTTTTTAAAAATATCTACGTGTATAGAACAAAAATCTACGACTGTTTCAATTTAAATCTGAATTTTCACCATGTCTTTACATTTTGCAAAAAAGCCCTAAATGGTAATATGTGTTCCAGAAACGTATGTTAACGTATGTTCCGGGTCGCTCAATTTTAATTTTTATACTGCGTTCCAATATATTTTGTAGTGTTTCACTCATGGTAAACTATACATGACGAGGCTGTTTCTATAAATATTTAAACTGTAAGTGGGGTTAGATGATGATTTACTTTATTATTATTCATTGTTACAGGAGAGTGAAACTTTGATACAAACTTCTTCATGTGGGACCCTAAAATAATCAAATATAGTTTGCAATATATGCACTGGATATTCTTAAGAGCATGCCTGTGACATCGATTGCACCTTTATATTGGGTTTGGGTGTATAACATGTTCATGATTCATTGACAAAATACCAATTATACCATTTTTCTTTAAGTTATGTTTAAAAAATATTTTTTGGCTTAATTATATGAAAAATCAATGAAATATGACCTCTCCTGACGTTTGTCCCATTATCACTGACCCTTGACTAATTGCCGTAATTATATATAATTCATTGATATATTTTACCATGTTGATGTAGTAAGCCCTTTCTCCCCCCTTCCCCAACTTTCAAATAGGGGATATTAAGACTGTTCTCCTCACATTCATTTTCATAATTTTATGACATTCTTGAGGCTCTAAATTGTCATAAGTATTACACTTAAGCGTGGTCACAAATCATTCCTCAAATGCTAAAACATTTATTCAAACAATGTTTTTTTAAAACTTTTTTGTTTGAATTTTAAGAAACTCATAAACTGTGACCTCTTGTGACCTCTGACCCAATATCAATGACTCCTGACTAATTGTCACGAATCTTTGACTTATGGAATTAAATGTCTCATACACTAACTCCTTAATGGTATATTAATATATCTTTATCGTTCTCATATTTCCTTTTCCCTACCCCCATCTGAAAAAAAAAGCAATTGCCACTGGTGGGTTGGAGTTATATAAGGTGTGCAATATACTGCTATCCCACATATTTGGACAATAGAGGCATAGGCCTTACTAAAATCACTATGATAATTCGTCCTTTTTTTTTTTTTTTTTTTTTTTATGTCAACACAAGTGGGCCTGATTTGGTATTAAAGTGCAATTTAAGACTAAAACTAGTCTGAGGCTACTTGGTCTGACTTACTTTAAAAGCGAAAAATCACGAAAACATTGTTTTAAGTGTGAAATTCTAATAATGGATCCCTACAGTATAAAAAGATTTTAAATAAAATTAAAATTAAAACTGAATATTTTTATGGGAGATAACTGCTTTACCACTTCAGTTGAAGTCAGACGAGTTACAGTCTTACTCACTGGACTTTCAGTTTGTTTTTAGTCTTAAGATCAAATTAAGACACCTCACTTAAAGGGATAACAACTATTCGTATTAAATCTAAATTTCACAATAAATACATATTTTTTAGAAAAAAAATAAATAAAATAAAATCAGGGACCAATTTTTAATGTAGAAATGGATTCATTAACCATTGGTAAATATGGGAAATTGCTGTATACCCCAGAAAAATTCATTTTTTGGGCAAAATGAACAGTTGTTATCCCTTATTTCTTTAAGATCGCCTCAGACTAGTTTTAGTCTTAAAATGCACTGTAAGACCAAATCAGACCCATTAGTGAAAGAGTACGGTTCATGGCCTAAATGATGCATATATTACTCGGTCGTTTTAAAGCATATTATTAAATCAATTCAACGGGTACCCCTGTTGTATTTACGTATCTCATTATTCCACATTTTTAAACATCTCAGATTTGCCGAATGTTGCTGGGTACCACTGGAAACAGGATCTTTAAAAAGTATAAAAGTTACAACTAAATATAATGCTGGTATCCGAAACGACACGGGAAAACCAAATGCAAGCCCTGTAACCACAAGTAACCCCTTGGTTAGGTAAGTACTTGGTGGCGCAAAACGTGTTTAATGCAAGTAAATTTTCACGGAACACCATATTACTTTAATCACAGATGAATAAGATTAGTGCAAAAAAAGTTAATATAATTAGCTAGGGAGCTCGCTAATAACGCATTGATCCACTATAATTAAAATGGTTCTTGTCATTATTTTTATTATCAATAGCATGGATATCACATGTGGCTATCAATTTGACATCCCGAGTGTTGATGCAGATGGGGATATTGTAAGATGTCGCTGGGCAATTGGATATGCTGAGTGCGGCAACGTGTGTGGGCCACTTCCGGGGTCAACTTTGTATCCAGTACGTAAACTCTCTCTCTCTCTCTCTCTCTCTTTTTTTCTTCCTTATCGTCATATATATATATAAATAAATTTCCACTTGGAATGCATTTCGAAAGTTTTTGACATGACAAAAACATTCGGGATGCCACAAGAATGGGTAAAAATATTTAGAATGCTCACGGAATTTTTAGAATGCTCTTCGATTATCCAGGAGTGCACAAAGAATTGTCTTTCCGGCGGCATTCTTGCTCATTCCTCTAGTGTGGCGGGGGCATAATGAAGAATTTTCAAAATACCAGTAAGAATAACTCACAATGCGCTTCGAACCCACCTGGAATGATTCGTGCACATTCCGGTTGTATTGTATTAGCTCTCAAATGCAGCTCGAAAGTAGTTGGAACACATTAGGAATATCGTTAATGCTGTCTAAATATAGTGAGAACATCTAGAATGCACTTCGAATGCCATACACGTGTGGTTTCATTGCTGGCTGAATTACGGCATGGACATAATGAGAGAAGGACGTGAAACGCGGCATCTTCCTTTGAAGCTATGTGCGTTTGGGTAAACATTCGCCCATTGTCTCAGATAAGCTGTTTTGATAGCTCCACAGGAGCCTGAACAACTTATTATCAAGGTAGCGCGCGCTGTGCCTCATTGAAATTATTTTGTTTTATTGCATGGATAACGCAATTTCTCGCGGTCCCTCGTGGTTGCTATGATACAGCATTGCCTCCATCTTGTAGTTGCTATCACATAGACTTGCGTCAACAAGTGGAAATTTGTTTTGGGTTTTCAGTTTCTTTTCTCTGTTACCTAATAGGCTCTGGCCTTTGTCTGTACTTGTTATCGTTTCCAAGATTGTATTGATATATGTCGAACTGATATATAATTGGTTTAAAAGCATGGTGACTAATAAAGCCAGGTAGGTGCAATCCAAACTCATCTGATAACAAGATAATGCAATGTAGCAAGCCAATTACAGAGGTGAGACTTAAATCACAAATGTGATCAAGATCCACGATCTACTTTTATGACCATTACCCAATGAAATATAATCATGAAGTTTGCATGTGTACATGTCCACATTTATACTTAAATTAAAAGACCAATGAGGGTGTTTGTCAATCGTCTCTATGCTGTTTAGGGACTCCAATTTAAAGATGAAAAATATTAATTATCATTCTCAAACTGGAGCAGACCGTAGCCGGTCAAATATATATATATATATATATATATATATATATATATATATATATATATATATATATATATATATATATATATATATATATATATATATATATATATATGTAATTACGTGTTTAATATAACAAAACAACTTGCTATGTCTGTGAGTTATTATCAATAGAAATATTTTACATCCCACAGTGCAAAACTAACATATTGGACTCAACGCTTTGGTGGGTAAAATATCAGTTGATTTATTTCAGAACTGTTCCCTTATCATCCCGTCTTCTAAGCGAAGCCTGTACGGTAGTGGGTTTTATGCAGTAGCAATAATGTTGGAAGATTTCCCTGCAACAGACATAACACAGGGTGGAGTGCAGAAAGACGAAACAACTCCATTGTCAAAGGTCCCGCTACAGGTCAGGAATATTAAATAAGTATTTAAATTAAAAAAAAAAAAAAAACTTGGAAAGGACGGTATGGTTAACCCTATCATTGTTGCCTACCCCATGGCATTATTATTATTTAAATAGCACTGTTTTGATAGTAACTCAACGCGTAGCCAGATCGCTGTTATGCACACACGCTGCTTCCCTGTAGTTTTTTGTCCATAATTATCCACCAGAATGAACCTGCCTTTTGTTTCCTCACGTGGCAGCACGCGTCGCTTACACGTGTCCGTTTGTAGGACAGATCGGCGAAAAGTCGCATTTTAAAAGGCCCTTTATGAACTATATCACTTGCGTATTCAGAAAATGACTTTGCTTTTTACTGCCACAGGCATACATGACATGTTTTTTATTGATTGATTGATGTTTGAATTGACGATTGTGTTTCTGAATTTCTCATTTGCCATAATTTGGGGTTTTATAATGTGTGAAATAACTTGGATATTTCAGTATCTTGCTCGCATAAAGGATGGTTGTAATTGCGGCAACCCGCCCACTTTCACAACTCCACCAGAGACAAAAAACCTACGTGCTGGGCAGACCTTCACGAAGGACTTAATAGCATTTTATCCCAGTGGGTATGTTTGCACTTGTAAGCACTTCCTTGTTCTATCAGCATACAACAGGCAACAATTTAAAATGCCATGTATTTAAGACTTCAGTTGACAACGGAATCTGCGTATCGACATGACAGCACATAATCCACACCCATGCATATATTATATTCATAACGTCCACTTCTTTCCACACATACAGAATAACTGCCATCAACGTCATTCCACCAACCGGTGCTAATGTGGGTGCAATGGTTACTGTAAATGGTACCACGGCCTCGGTTAACATAACCTTGACTGCGACCCCTGCACAGCACGGACACCACCTGATTTGTTATCAAGCCTTTGGCGCTAATAGGTAAGTTCAGACTCATCTAAGACCCTGTTCCCATCCCCAGGTCGACGTAGCAGGATTGACCAAACTCTGTCACGTTACAGTTTAAATTATGTTCAGTCAAAAATTACAATAGGGTGATAGCACCTGCACATGATAGCTGGCAATGGTCTGTAATGGCTCTTACCGAATTAATGCCCGAGCCTTAACACTGAGATGGTCAAGTACTAAATACTCTTCCCTGTTTCCTGAGAATACTCGTGAATGAATGCGCAGCCGCTTCCTGCTCTGAAACTGACGTTGAATCAAGATGCGCAGTGACGGAGCTCCAATTCAGGAAACCCCTCTAAGGGTTATTGAATAAAGGGGATGATTGTGATAAAACTGCAATACAATATTGGTCACCTCTTACAAATGGAGTGAGATATTTGTTGAGAACGTTTCAGTGAATTGCCCCAATAACGTTCTTTTCCGTAAAGAACAAAGGTTGTCCCACCTTCGGTATCATGTGCTTTTATTTATAAATGATCACATCACAGGTGAAGATTGCTATAAATAGTGATTTTCATTCCAGATGCCATAACTAACATGATAAGTCAGACAGAAAATACAAACTAGCCGTGAAGATATCAATATTTATTCACATTTATAACATGTACCCCCTCAAATCCGACGTTTCACTGTGATTTTCACAGGGGTAAAGAAATGTCTATTAAATTGAAATGACACCACCAAATGGCACCAAATTTACAAACATTTTGCATTAGGGTGTGCTCGTTAAAAACTCCTAGTCTAATTGTGTTTGTGTTTACCGCGTACTGTAATTATCTTCTCTAGGTGGCGGGGCTCGCCTTCAACAAGGGTAACAATTCTGTGTGATTAGATATTGTCCGATTCTTCCTAAAGACCTTGGGGGAGTTGGTCCAGATTATTAGGAGTTTGGTTCTCCTTTACATTGCACATTTCAATTCATGTCACAGATGTTTAGTAAGGTTAATAACAGGGCTCAAAGGTGGTTGCTCTATCCTCTGAACATTGGGTTTCAGCAACAAATCCCCCAGCAGACGATGACGCCTGCAGTATCCTTGAAGTCACATCTTACAAATGGAGTGAGATATTTGTTGAGGACGTTTCAGTGAATTGCCCCAACAACGTTCTTTTCCGTAAAGAACAATGCACTCAAACCGTGGGCTTGCAATTCTCTCCAAACGTGTCACTTCGGCAATATTATCCTTCATAAACCTTCCAAAATGCATTCTGCAACATGCCTACGGGCCCTTATTTGACCATTTAAGGCATACAACAACTTGTTCCTAGTGATGGTTGACCAAGTTCTGGTAGTACTGGGGTCACTGAACCTAACATTCTCAAATGATACCTCATTCCTTCTGCAAGAGGGGACTTCGGGGGTGATCCAGGTTTGATTATGACAGCACACTTGCTCACAGTTATCATGTGGTGAGTGATTCGTTGCAGAATCTCAATGTTCTGAGGCTGGATCCTGATAATAAACCTACTGGCATGAATTGAAATGTGCAATCCAGAGGAGAACCAAACTCTGAATAGTCCGGACTAATTCCGCCAAGCTTTTTAGGAAACATGGGGCATTATCTTACAAAACAGAATTGTTACCCCTGTTGAAGGCAGTGGCACCGTCTACAAGAGATAAATACAGTGCGCAGTGGCCACACATGATAATAGACACGTGACCTTTAACTAGCACACCCTAATGATAAATGTGTTTAAATTTGGTGACTCTTAGTAGTGTCATTTCAATGTAATGGGCATTTCTTTATCTCCGTGGAAATGACAGTTGGAGCTGAGGAGGTACATGCGATAAATGTGAATAAATGATATAAAATGTGGACATCTTAACTGCTAGTTTGTATTTTCTGTACCAATAATCATGTTAGTTACGGTATCTGGAATGAAAATCACCATTCATAGCAATTAACTCCTGTGATATGATCATTTATAAATAAAAGCACATGAAACTGGGGATGGGACAGCCTTTTTGACCTATGTTGTATATACTGAAAAACAAAATCACATAAGATGAAAACATATTGCCATAAATTGACGTTTGGCTGTTCAAAACATTAATTGTCTCGTCTGCTGATCTTACTGTATATTCATGAGAAAGAGAAGGAACATTAGAAACAATTAAAATTCGAATCAGCAGCACATTATATTATATTATATTAATTATATTATATTATATTATATTATATTATATTATATTATATTATATTTTCAGATGTCCTGGACCGTACCTTTGTGACAAAATTGTAGTAGGTAATGTATAATATTTCGATGTTGGTGGTTGCAACCTTGGAACTTGGGAACCATTGCTAGAATCATGCTTGCACTTGAACGGGATGTCTTGTTTCATTTTATTTTATAATGGAGCTCTAAATGAATCGTGAATCATTAAGACTGCCATGTTTACAAACATATTAGAGTGGAATATCCAAAGCATTTTGCACGTTTTTGTGAAGTTTTATCTTCTTAAATGTCTTCAAATATGGAAAGAAGTAATACAAAAAAAATTGAAATACATTGATTGTAAAGGAGTGGTGCACTTACTAAGCAGTAATGCAGATACCCATCTGTTATGGAATATTCTAAAACAATGTTGTATGCTGTTTTCTGTAAAATCAATGTTCCGTCAAATTAATTGGGTCACGGCCCTGGCCTCTTAAATATAGAGAAGATGACATTTCGTTACACTTATTATACATTGACCTTGGCATTGACCCCTTTGACCTTGAAAGACGTTGCAAAGGATTCCCACTCAGCTCTGGTGACATTGAAAGCTGTTGTAAATGATTGGTAGTGCCTCATTTAGTAGAATTGTTCTTGGTATATTTGGTTACCAAGATATGTAAAGTTAGGTGACCCACCCCATTCTAAGGTGGCCGTTTTGAATTTTTTCGCCAAAAAATGTAACTGCCATGGGAGAATATTTGTGGATTTTTTTTTTTTTTCTTTGGCTTCATTGGGCCGTGTCTTTGTTTAAATGTTCATAGAGCATTCCCTAATGTGCCAACTCACAGACGTGCATTGATATTTAGGTTGTTTTATTTGTTGTCTGTGAACGGTCATTCTGTGTCGGAGAGTGTCTCCGGTTTACCCTATATAGTTCTCACCGCATCCACTGCAAGTCAATACATAAATTAAATTTGAGCTAGTGCAGGTGAATGGGTGTTTAATTCTAAATGTAAGTCCCTTTTTAAATGTTAGGTGGCTCCCCTCTTTAATTAGTGGACAGGTGCTGCACCTGGATACCTCACATTTCTGTACTCGTATTGTTGAGGTTTCCAAATTTGGAATTGTTTTCAAATTTTGCTTTGGTTAAAATTTGCTTAAGTGATGGACTTTGTCTCTTACTCTTTATAATCTGCATTTCAGTTAGTAACATATTCATTTTGTCATTCAAATGGACTTGCATTTAGAATTAAACACTTAAGTGACCGGGTGTCGTGGATCTCACTCGCCATGTGCTTCTTTCATACTCGTCCATTACCACATCAGCCACCAAGCGGTAGCCACGGTCAAGACGCGACCAATCGACAGCCATGTGTTGGATATAACATTGAATCGCTACACATCTTATTCATTACACATTGATCTCTTACACTTAGTTTGCTTGACAAAATTAATGATTTATCTAACTGTTTAATATGCAAGTATTGCTTACAATGTTGTCCGTCAAAAGTGGAATAAAATATAAAATTAAACGTTCACAGACGCTTCGGTTGACGGCGGATTGTGCCCGTACAGCAATTGGAGTGCTTGCTCGGTAACGTGTGAAAATGGTACACAGACACGTTCTGAGGAGTGCAGGTGCCCTGAACCCGCCTACGGTGGCTCCGACTGTGTAGGTGCCAAAACCGAGACTCAGTCTTGTAGTGGCCCCCCTTGCCCAGGTAACGACCCCCCTCTCTCCTTCTCTCTCTTCTCTCTCTCCCTCTCTCCCTCTCTCTCTCTTCCCCCTCTCTCTCTGAAATCGCAGTTAAAACAGACATTTCATTGACCAAACCTAAAAAACAACATTCCATTATGTACTTATATTGCCCTCCAGTTGACGGTGGATGGTGCACGTACAGCGATTGGAGTGATTGCTCAGTGACTTGTGAAAACGGCACCCAGACACGCTCTAGGGAGTGCCAATGTCCTGAACCCGCTCACGGTGGCGCCACCTGTGTGGGTGCGACAACCGAGACTCAGTCTTGTAGTGGCCCCCCTTGCCCAGGTAACGACCCCCCTCTCTCCTTCTCTCTCTTCTCTCTCTCCCTCTCTCCCTCTCTCTCTCTTCCCCCTCTCTCTCTGAAATCGCAGTTAAAACAGACATTTCATTGACCAAACCTAAAAAACAACATTCCATTATGTACTTATATTGCCCTCCAGTTGACGGTGGATGGTGCACGTACAGCGATTGGAGTGATTGCTCAGTGACTTGTGAAAACGGCACCCAGACACGCTCTAGGGAGTGCCAATGTCCTGAACCCGCTCACGGTGGCGCCACCTGTGTGGGTGCGACAACCGAGACTCAGTCTTGTAGTGGCCCCCCTTGCCCAGGTAACGACCCCCCTCTCTCCTTCTCTCTCTTCTCTCTCTCCCTCTCTCCCTCTCTCTCTCTTCCCCCTCTCTCTCTGAAATCGCAGTTAAAACAGACATTTCATTGACCAAACCTAAAAAACAACATTCCATTATGTACTTATATTGCCCTCCAGTTGACGGTGGATGGTGCACGTACAGCGATTGGAGTGATTGCTCAGTGACTTGTGAAAACGGCACCCAGACACGCTCTAGGGAGTGCCAATGTCCTGAACCC